GGCCCAAAGAAACATGCTACCCCTACACCACTTTAACACTCTCCCAACCCAATGTACAGCCCCTTGTGCAGCCATCCATTGCTAAGGTCTTGCAGGGGATAGGGCCAGAAGGTTTAGCTGTCCTTGGAGAAGTCAAATTGCCAGTCCTTATAGGAAACAGAAAAGTTAATGTATATTTCATCATGGCAGACACAGCTGAAAGTACCAAAGTCATCCTGGGGCACCCCTTTCTGCATCAGTCCAATGTCTGCTTGGATCCTGGTTTTGCTCGCATTCCCTCAACTGACAGCGGAGACCTGATGCTCTGTCCAGCCAAGACCTTCATTGAGAGACATTGCATCCTGGTAGCCCATGCCTTTGTCAAGCCGCAGAAGTCAACAAGCATTCCAGTTGGAGTTTTCAACCCAGGGGCTACACCCATTACCCTGAAGGGAAGGGCTGTGGCTGGGATTCTTCAGCCAGACGAGGTGGTGGGCAACCTGGAGCCCCCATCACTCATGTACCCGCCCGAGGCAGGATCTACTAATCCTGTCTCTGTCCCTTCTCACTTGCAGGTCCTGTATAACGATAGCTGCTCCAGCCTGGCAGAGGGTAACCGTCATAAACTAGCCCTCCTGCTGCAATGTTATGGTAATGTCTTCTCTACTGGTCCTACTGATTTTGTAGTATTGCGCAGCATGATATCCAGACCAAGGGCGTCAGTTTGTTTCCAGAATTGCTGGGGACAATAACCATACACTTGAGTGGGGTTTAAAAATTGCTGGGGACAATAAAGTAGGCTAGCACAGGGGTCGGCGGCTCTGGAGCCGCATGCGGCTCTTCCATCCATCTGATGCGGCTCTGTGTTTGTAAAATAATGAATGGATATTTAAATAAAATGCTTTATATTTTACTGCATTAATTTTACATCTGTATGCCAATTCTAAATGTAAAGATTGTCTGCGTAAACCTGAACAGGTCCAACCCGGTCTTACTGTGAGACCGGGTTGACGCGTCACGCTTGTGCGTAATCATAGGCGCTTTATTAGCTGAAGACGATGTGAGATTCTGGGATTCTCCTCAGACGGCTCCTGGATGTGTCGCCACATTGGAGACGGGAACAAGCGCTATTCAGCCAAAGTTTCATCATCAGGGAACATTTTCTAAGTGACAAGTCTCTCTGAGAGACCGGGTTTGGAAAACACTCGCTTCAGTGGGAGGAACCTTCCCACATGCGCTCTGGGTGGCTCTGGGGTTAATCAAGTTTAATTGTTTCTCTTTGCAACAATCTTCACAAGAAGGCAAAACAGTTAAACGGCAGGTTACATATATTTCCATTTGACTGTTTATTTTGACAGATGAACTCAAGGATGTTGCTTGGTTTGAAAGAATTACCCCCACGCACACTTATGCACATGGATGAGCTGACATTTTAATCGTTAACGCACATCGCGGAGGTAAAAGATTCCCATCAGAACATCAGAGCTTTATACTGAACACTGTGTTCAGCGCGGCTCGGAGCGCCCACGGTGGACAGTGAGCTGAAGATCTGAGGGGTTCGCAGCGCAGCGCAGAACCATGGTGCATGCAATGACTTCCTCCCACTGAAGCGGTCTGGAAACCCGGTCTCTCTGAGGGATGTGTCACTTGGAAAAATGTTCTTTTTAGGAAATTATGAAACAAGCTGAACAGCGCTTGTTCCCGTCTCTAATATGGAGACGCATGATGCGTAGAGACATTTGATCACGCACAAAGTTTATGTGGAGCAGAAGCGGTCGGGCCACGGCAGGTGAAATGTTCCTAGCCTACATGAAGGGAAACTGTTTAATTGTAACATTAATACGTTACTGGACACGCTGGTCTGGTTGGTTAGACCAGTGTTTGAAGTGGAAAACACACACACACACACACACCAATTAAAATATATGCTGATAGCATGGACTAGAAGACAGGTGATGGTTTACGTATTTAAATGATGATCAGGCTGCTGTAAAATGTAATCTCCATCCACATCCAGACAGAATCATCCTCTATTCTGTCTCTGTTTGCTCTGCTCTTGTCTGGGCTGATCAGCTGATGGTGCGCCTAACTAGCGGCTGATGCACATTTTACGCATTTGGAGAGGTGGGCTGGATGCTGTGCGTTTACTGGAAGATGGTTAACGCACGGGTGTAGACTACATATTAATGACAAATGAATGAAAATTAAATTGTGAGTTTTTACTTCATATTTTATAAATAAAAATGACGGGGGAAAACATTTATGACGTCTTTCTAAACTAAATTTTCTAGCGCGACCTGCCTGCTTCACTTAAGTCACTGCTTATTAAGGTCCGTCCAGAATTACTGTGGGAAACGGGTAATAATGGCTCTTTGATGGGAATAGGTTGCCGACCCCTGGATAAGATCTGAGCTGGTAAAACAAAAATCCTCATCAGCAGGCGTTTTTGAAAGTGGGGGGGGGGGCACAGCTGCCAATCACAAATTTTGCCGGGGACATGTCCCCGGCGTCCCCGGTTAAAATGACGCCTATGATCCAGACCACGACAGGGCAGTTTATCAAGCAATCTCCAAGCAGAATGGCAGCCGACAAGCAGCTGGCTGCAGATCAGCAGCTACAACAGAGCCTCGAAGGTGGTGTAACCCAGCCTAGCAACAATAGCTGGGGTGCACCTATTGTGATGGTTAGGAAAAAGGACAAAACATCCAGGCTGCTGAATGAAAGGACCATCAAGGATGCATATCTGCTGCCTCGTATTCAGGATACACTTGACACCTTTTCCACTGCCAGGTACTTTAGCACACTTGACTTGACTTCAGGATACCAGCAGGTGGAAATGATCCCTAGAGCCCGTAAAGCTGCTGTCTTCTGTACCCAAAAAGGACGTTTTGAATGGAACGTAATGCCCTTTGAGCTATGTAACGTTGGAGTTGGGAGTGGATTGTGTCAGGGTAAAACTTGGAGTGGGCTTTTTTGCAAGATGTTTTGTACATTGTGATATGATGCTTGTTGATTTGGCTGTGTACAATGAGGCTGGTTTTCTTAGAAAAGCGTTCCAGTTGTCATCATTTTTTCTTAAGATTATGTAGTTCCAGAGTTTATCAAGGGGCTGACTGGGTGAAGGATACAGTTAGTGTCTTGAGAGGGACAAGTTGATTAAGACAGGAGGAGAGAGTATGGTTGTAGTGGTCAAGGTCAGAGGGAGCAGAGTCAGTGGGGAGAGGGGAACTGAAGATAGTATCAGATATGGAGGATGAAGGACTTGAGGGGTTATTGTGCGTTTTTGCTGTGGCTGGGGGATGGGAATGTTCAAATCCATCATAATAGCCAAGGGATCAGAGATAGTGCGGTCAGTAAATGAAAGGTTTAGAATGATCAGAAGGGGTGTAGCACATACAAGGTCCAAAATATGACGTGACTGTGTATGGGGGAGTGTGTGGTATGTGTTGAGTCAGATTGAAACTGCGTAAAATATCCAAGAAGTCAGTTGTAAACTTTGATTTAGGGGGTCTACGTGGATGTTGAAATCCCCTAGGAGGAAGACAGAAGGTGAGATGGAAGAGAGCTGAGTAAAAAATTCCCTGAAGTCTGAGAGAAAGAATGGGTTCGTTTGGGGGGGGGGGGGGGGGGGGGATAGATTCTGGCGATTATTAGTGTTTGTGATCCAGGAATTCTGAGGGCCATGTGTTCAAAGGGTGAAACAGGGGGTAAGGAGATGGGACGCAGGGTAAGGTCCTTGCGTTGAATGACGGAGATGCCCCCACCCCGGGCATCTGGACGGTGCTTGTCCATATAGCAGTATCCTGTAGGCGTGGGCTGGTTTAGTGCAAAGTAGTCCATGGGTTTGTGCCAGGTTTCGACAATTAAGAAAAGGTCCAGTTTATTGTCAGTTATAAATTAGTGTCATAATTGGCTTTTGTTGTTTAGAGACCTGGTGTTGAGTAAAGCTGATTTAAGATGCCTTTGTTTTGAAGTTCATGGGGTGGAAGTTGGTGCCAGCAGGATGTCATCATGAGTCATGTGACCAGAGCTTGGATGACTGTGACTGAGTGGATGTTGTGTAGCTGCTGGACATGGGAGCAGGAACCACAGACGGATCAGAGTGTGGGAAGGCAGTTGTCGGATGCAAAGTTGTAGACAAACTTGCGACGGGAGCCTCTGTGGATGTAGGGGCGATGTTGAAGAAGACCAAGCTGTGTGACTGTGGTGATGGGATCCGATGGTGGTGATGCACGGTGGTTGGGCCGGAGGGGCTTTGAAGGTGCATACCGAAAAGCCATGGCCAGCTGCATAACAGAGAATGAAGGCCACAACCACACCATGGTGAATGAAGACCGGCCAAAAGTGCAATCCGGAGATGATGCAGCACCAAAAGGCCCCAAAGTCAGGTAGGAAAAGCAAAAAGGTTGAGTTTAACAGGCTTGACAGGCTATAAACGGACGGAGAAGCAGCAGCAAAAACGCACCAGCGTCCTCTCACATGATATCGTTCGTGCTGGAGTCTGGAATCTAATTAGTTAAAAAACAAAAAATGTTTGGTTTGGTTTGATTTTCAGAATGTGACTGTTTTCCCTGTAGTTTTTTATAATAATGATGTACTGAAATACAGAGAAATCAACTTTTAAATACAATGCATACTATTGTAGTAACCATAGCAAGAGCATATTCACACATGGAAAGAATCAATGTGTATAAATCATATGACAGTAGCTCACGGGCCAAAAAGGTTGGAGACCACTGGTCTAGGTTATGATCCTGTTTGGTTGGGGTGGGACTAAGCTGAGTTGGAAGGTATCAGAACATCATAGACAGGAGGGAGTGGTGCTGACAAGAAGAGATTATCTTGCAGAAAGAAACAAGGGAGGGACTGAAAGAGATGTGGAGAGTAGGATGGGTGATGAAAACCTCCAACAACAACATAAGGGGTGTGATGAACAGCTTAAAAAATGTGTGAGAGATCAGGGTGCATGTCTGTTGGCAGAAACCCATGAGCAAAGAACACACATTAACTATCACACACACCTAGCCCGCTGACTGCTTGTATCTCAGGAGACTGGCGACAACATGACTGGAAGAGTCGATGAGATGTGCAGCTTTTAGAAGAATGGTTGGGGGAGGTTTCTGAGAGGACCTGTGACATAAAATTAAAACCATTAACAGAACTCATAAAAGACCCAATTAAGTAAACAGTTAAGAGACAGGCTGCCAGTAACACGACAGGTTGGTACCTCCATGGAGCCAGCCTTGTGACTGCGGATCATCGGTGACTTTCTCTGGAGGTTAAGAAGCTCAGAAACAGGAAGTGCCTTATCTGTCTGGTCCTGGGAAAGATCCTCCAAACTGCCCTGATTGGGCTTCTTGTCTTCATTCTGATTGTGAGAGAAGATGAAACAATTGGTATGGCTTTAATCGAGTATCGCAAACAAACCCCAGCTAATGAGGCTTTTGAGTGTGGCTTCATCATATATGGGGGCGACGGTGGCACAGGAGTTAAGTGCTCACCGCGCCATCAGAAGGTTGCAAGTTTGAGTCCTACTCAGCCTGTCACTGTCAGTGTTTCCTTGGGCTAGACACTCAACCACCCTTGCCTGCTGGTGGTGTTCAGAAGTGGCATCTGTGTACAGCAGGCTCGCCTGTCAGTGCGCCCCAGGGCAGCTGTGCTACATCGTAGCTCATCACCACCAGGGTGTGAATGTGTGTGTGTTTGGGTGAATGACTGATTGTGTTGTAAAGCACCTTGGGGGGTTCTAGGACTCTAGAAGGCTCTGAGAATACAGGCCATTTGCCAACACCTCATGAGCTCATGAGAACTTTTTATTGCTTGGCATAATGAACGGAAAATGCACTGATGAGTAGGTTCAATTGGAATGTTAACTCAGTAAAGTGACTTAAGATGAGTCTTGTCATCATTTGGTGCATGAATTGAATGTAGAAAAAAATCTTCAACATTTGTACAACTTAACATTTTTGGGAAATTGCAGCTACTACTCAATAGTGTGTATTTGTTGTGAAGGTATTGCAATAGTGTTTTATGTGGGGCACTTCTGTCAGTGCGCCCCAGGGCAGCTGTGGCTACATTGTAGCACATCACCATCGGTGTGTGAATGTGTGTGTGAATGGATGAATGATACACTGTAGTGTAAAGCGCTTTGGAGTCCTTACTCTGAGAGGCGCTATACAAGCGCGGGTCATTTATCATTTATGTGTAATGTGTGACGACAGAAATTTGGACCACAAACAAAAAAATGCATTGTTGTCAACAGTGGCGGCTGGTGAAAATATTTTTGGTGGGGCTGTGCTATTTTTTATTTTTAAACAAACTTGTGCTTTCTGAGCTTTGTGCACAACTTCACTATTTCCTGAATTAAGCACAGCTCTTTTATTTCCTGTCTTACATCATTGGACAAACTGATTAATCCAGGTGTGTGACTATTGGCACGCTGCCTTGCGGACCAAGGTTGAAAAATACTGCATAAAATTGCACATAAAATAACATGACCATAAATGGTAAATAGGCAATGCAAGAGGCAAGTAACAAAAACATTTTGTTTAATTTCAACATTTGAGTGAACACGAAAACTTATGAGCAGGTCACTGTTACAGTAATGGTAGTAAACACTACTTAGACAAAATGCCAGAATTTTACACTGTTAAATATTTCTGGAGTGTTGTGCCAAGGTCAACTTTATACAAAGATCAAGTGGATGCATTTGTGTGTGTGTGATACCTCATTTGTACAGAAATTTTGCCCTTCTGTCCTTCTGAGTGGCAAAGCTCTCGATTAGCTTTTTATTGAAGTCAGGAATGTTTGTGACAAGCTTTTTTTTCCATGGAGAGCATGGCAAGAGCATTCAGCCCATCCTGTGTCATGGTGTTCCTCAAGGAAAGTCTTAATCCTCTTTAAAGTAGAAAAGCACCTTTCTGATTCGGCTGTGGTCATGGGTGTGGTGACAAGAATCTTCTTTTGTATGGCTCAGGATGGTGTGAAAAACCTGTCATATGATAAATAAAAAACAACAGATAAGTACATAGGAAACACTTTCATAGGAAATAATGTCATCAGTATCCTCTTTCAAATGTCATATTTCCCAGTTTTTGGGACAATAAAACATTTCTGATTCTCAATCAGATGTTTTTACATTTGAGGTAAAAACATCTAATTGAGAATCAGAAATGTTTAATTGTCCCAAAAGCTGGGAAATTTGTTTGCTGCAGCAGAAGTGTAACAAGTAAAATGGAATCAGATTGATGTATGTACAAATTTACATGAAATACACATTTACGTGATTAAATATGTATAATAAGTATGTGTGTTGAAATTAGTTTTTACAGTTATTGCACATTAAACATGTTATTAAACAAATGTCCAGGTTTGTGGGACAACCAAGGATTTCTGATTCTGATTGTCTTGTTCACAGAAATGTAATGTACAGCTTACCTCTGCACCCAGCTGCTGTTGTTCCCTGCATGGCAATGTTAGCTCTGCTGCCTAGCATGGCTAGCTTCACCGTGTTGTCCATGTGTGCCCGGGATGACTCGTGTTTCTTCACCTTCTCAGAAAAATGTTTCATGTCTGTAACTCCTGACTCATCCATGCCTTATCTGTCCCAGCCGTTTTGAATAGCAAACACGGAAAGCAAAATAACGCATTAGCGTGATTGCATCCAGCTAGCCAAGCCTTCTTGGTGTACCAATTTCGGGAGAAGCCTAGTGTGTACAGTTTACCTCTCTCCTTCTCCTGCTGGCTTATACGTCGGGCTGATCTGGTCCAAGCTCTTTGACATTAAGTTTTTCCACCATAGTTCTCCTCTCGAACGGATAGTGGAGAAGAGACCGAACTGAATTCAGTGGCTGCTGAGATCCGGTATCCATGCTGGTTGTAGTCACCGGCGGCGTCCATGTTACATCTGCGTCACGACCAAAAACGACTCTGCCGAGTTCTACCGAACACCAACGAATCCTTTGGCGGTAGCTCCATCGCCCATCATGCTACTGAAACGTTCTGAAACAACGTCGATGCTGATTGGATACATTCCCATTCCTACCCTTTGATATTCTTGTCAGCAATTGGACAGCTGGTCTCGTCCTGTTTGGGCGATTGAAAAACAGCACACAGCCTCCACCGCTCGGCAGAGACCGGCAGAGATCGGCAGAGACCAATATAGATATATATATATGATTTCTTTTTGTTACAAAACACACAATTAACTTAGAATATGTGATTATTGTTAATTTTATTTATTCATTTTTTTAATAAAAATTAAAAACACGGAAAAACTGGGAGGGTGGCGCCCTATCGCCCTCTACTGGCCAGCCGCCGCTGGTTGTCAAGCAAATTTTTGCTAATCTTTAAAAACCTTCAAAATGAAAGGCTCCTAACTGGAGCAAACAGAAGAGAACACACTCCTTTTCTAATGTCTCTGCAATGGTTACCATTAACTTTAGAATTCACCAAATTCACCATGTAGGGCAGGTCTACTCAAATCCGGGCCCTGAGGGCTGGTATCCAGCACACTTTGGTTTTAACTCTACAGCACACCTGATTTCAATTAGTAGGTGATTAACAGGCTTCTGCAATGCCTGATGAGCTGCTGCACAGGTGATTCAACCACCGAATCTAGTGTGTTGGACCAGAGAAACCACAAAAATGGGTGGATACCGGCCCGCGAGGCCCGGAATTGAATAGCCCTACTCTACATGGTCAAGCTCCTCCCTATATTACTGAACTGTTAAAGCCTTATGCTCCGACCCAAAGCCTCAGGTCCACACACCAGAACATTCTAGAAGTTCCAAAGACCAGATATAAAAACTAAGGTGATTGCTCCTTCCAGACTTTGAAATTAACTTCCTTTATCCTTAACATATGATCAATCTATCCTTAGTAAATGGATATGTACCACAGGATTTTAAGGTTGCTGTAATCAAACCTTTACTTAAGAAGCCTTCTCTGGATCCAGATGACCCAATGAATTATAGACCAATATCTAACCTTCCTTTTTTATCCAAAGTCCTTGAGAAAATAGTGGCCAACCAAGTATGTGAGCATTTAAACACTAATGATCTGTTTGAGGAATTTCAGTCTGGTTTTAGAGTATCACAGCACTGAAACTGCATTAGTGAAAGTTACAAATGATATTCTCATGGCCTCAGATAAGAATCTTGTGTCTGTTGTAGTCTTGTTAGATCTCAGTGCTGCCTTTGACACAGTTGATCACAATGTTCTTGTAGAAAGACTTGAACATGTTGTAGGGATCAAAGGAGCAGCGTTAGGCTGGTTTAAATCCTACCTGTCTGACAGATTTCATTTTGTAATGTACATGACAAATCTCCTTCATACTCCAGGGTTACTTGTGGAGTACCACAGGGTTCAGTGCTTGGACCAATTCTTTTTACTATATATATGCTTCCAATTGGTAAAATCATTAGACAGCATGGGATAAACTTCCACTGCTATGCTGACGATACTCAGTTATATCTATCCGTTAACCCTGGTGAGCCTATTCGGTTAGTTAGATTACAGGCTTGTCTTGAGGACATAAAAAATTGGATGACTCTAAACTTTCTGCTTTTAAATCAAGACAACACTGCAGTTCTCATCTTTGGACCTGAAATTCAGAAAAGGAAATTGCTTAGCCAATCACCTGACCTGAATGGCATTAAATTAGTCTTTGAGAACAAAGTAAGGAACCTTGGTGTTATCTTTGACCAGGACATGTCATTCAAATCCCAGGTTAAACTGGTTTGTATGATTTCCTTTTTCCACCTTCGGAATATTGCTATGATTAGAAGCATCCTTTCCAGGAGTGATGCAGAAAAACTCGTTCATGCATTTATTACATCAAGACTGGATTACTGTAATTCATTGCTCTCAGGAAGTCCACAGAATGTAGTTAAAAGTCTTCAGCTTGTCCAAAATGCTGCAGCTAGAGTTCTGATGAGAATTAAAAAGAGAGATCATATCTCTCCTGTCTTAGCTCCCCTACATTGGCTACCTTTTAAATTCAGAGTAGAGTTTAACATCCTCCTTCCCACATATAAAGCTCTTAATAAACAAGCTCCATCATACATCAGTGACCTGATTGTTCCATATGTTCATAACCGAGCACTTCGCTCTCAGACTGCAGGTTTACTGGTGGTTCCTAGAATATCTAAAAATAGGATGGGAGTAGATCTTTTAGCTATCAGGCTCCTCTCTTGTGGAACCAACTCCCAGCATAAGTTCATGAGGCAGACACCTATAAAATCAATGTTCAAAAGCAAGAAAATATAATATACTAATATATAATATAGTGGAAAAAATAGGGCAACTTTTGAAGCATTTTTTAAACCTAAAAGGCAGAAAACTGACATCTCTGAAGATAGTTTAAAAACTGGACAGCTGAAATGTTTAAACTGCTGTTATTTGAGTAGGAATGGTTTCACAATTAGCTGAACTGTGAATTTAGCAGCATATGCTGAATTCTGAAAATGAGATGAACATGCTCAAGAACTGAAATGAAACTGAAATTGAGTTCAAATGTTGGTACCACTTTACAATAAGTGTCCCTTTATTAACATTAATTAGAGCATTATTAAGCATGAATAAACAGATGATCCCTTTAACATTGCCGATATTAACTACTACATGTCTTTAGGTTAGGACAAAGGGCCAGGGGGTGTGTGCCTGCTTAGTAATGAACTACTTAATATTAACATTAACATATTTAAATTAGTTTTTACAACTTGTTTGTTAGTTTTGTTTTCATTTTTATTTTTTGAAAATTCTTAGTTTCAGTTTAGTTTTGATTAGCTTGAGTTATAGTTTGTCTTTTTTGTTATATTAGTTACACATCAGGGACAAGAAATATTAAAACAATAGAATTTGTTTTTGTGTGTAACAAAAGTCCAGAAAATCATCACAGGTTTTCCGAAATGTATTTGGTTAGAACAGGTGAGCTACCATAGTTTCCAGGCAAGGATCAAACATACGGCAGAATAGAAAAACAGGAACTCAACAGGATGAAACCGACCAAAGTGCTTTACAGAAATTAAAAACATTAAAACAACATAAAAATGCATAAAAACTAGAACTAACACTAAAAAATACTAAAAAGACTCTCATGCTGAGTTAAAAGCCATATAATAAAAATAGGATTTCAAAAGAGAATTTAAACCAGACAGTGAAGAGGCCGATCTAATGCTCGAAGGCAGCTCGTTCCAGAGCCTAGGGGCCGCTACAGAGAAAACCTGGTCACTTCTGAGCTTACGTCTTGTTTTTGGGACTTCCAGAAGTATCCTATCAGCCGACCTCAGAGACCGGGCAGGGGGGTAAAAACCAGCGTTTATAAAATGGTATTTATTCTAAAATGATGACAAATCTCTAAATATTTAAGAGATAAATACATCACTGACTTAAATCTCTGTAACGTGTTTTAACAGTCAAACCACAACCCAGCACCTCACCTGTGTTATAATCTGTGGATTTTAGCATGAACCCGTCTAATTCCTGGGAAACCCGCTGTTGACCAACATGGTTTATGACTCTCAGGTTTTCTGCAGCGTTTCATGTCAGACTAACCCTAACCCTAACCGTGACACAGACAGATGACTGTTGGAGCAGACACAGGTCTTTCTGACAGCATGTTCTCCACCAAGCTGGTTCAACTCATCCGTTCTGGTGCTTCAGGAGTGCTCCACATGCTCCAGACATGCGTTAAAGCCCCGCCTCCTAGTCTGATGCCAGCCACGGCTTTCTCCACGCAGTTTATGCAAGATTTAAACACGAAGAGGAGACTGTCTAAAATGTGGGGCTGAGTCTGGTCACGCCACTCTGGTGTTACGTCAGCAAGGAGCATGCATGAGGGTGGGGGCACTCAAGAGTTGGGTTTGCTAAGCCGTTGCTCAGCAGGAACTGGAGCAAGAAGTCGCAATTTTCAGTATTGAATCAATCCCCTTAAAGAGGGTGCATGGATCATGAGAATTTGTCTCCACAATGTTGGCGTAACATCTGATCCTGGCCTGTCGTACCACTTCCTGGTAGTCGAAAAGTAACTTTAGCAAATTTCATAGGAGACATGAATTTTATCTTGCTGCAACTTTTATGAGGATTTTTTTTATTTTTGGTTGCTTTGTTGGAAGAAGGAATCATAACACAACATAAAAATCAGCTTGAAAGGTTTTGTATTCAAAAATATATTAAAACTGGCCCGCTGGCTGATTTTACAGCAAAGACTTCAACTCCCATGATGCTTTGCGGCGTCAGCGCGGAGCCGACGAAGCCCCCTCCTTTGTGTTTTTTCAGTGCCTGCTGCCGGTCTCTGCAGCTCCGCTGTCTCGGACAAACTACACTCCTCTCACTCAGCGCCGAGTTCACTCAGCTGTTTTCTGACGTTGAAGCCCAGAAACGGAGATTCTAGCCGCTCAGTAATGTGTTCACGACTGAAAGAGAAAGTTTTCCAACTAACGTCCAGACAGAGCTGATATGACTCCAGCGAGCAGCAACACACTCAAACCAGCATGACTCTGTGGCTGCTGTTGTGTTTCCTCCCCGACACACAACAACGGGGTCAAGCTGCTCAGTCATGTTCATCAGCACAAACCTATGTGAGCATCTGTTGTCATCTAATGTTGTCATTATGATGATGAAGATGAACAAAACAACAGGAGTCTCCTCCTCAGCCCAGATCAACCCCATGATGCAGGTATCTGGCTGGAACAGGTGAGCATCACAGTAAACCAGTGGAGCAAACTGAGCTTTAAATATGTTGGTTTTGTGCTCTTTTTCTGCTCCAAAACATGAAAGTTAACAGGTGAGATGTTGCATTTTCATTTAAGATAAAATGATATTTTTATTTTGTTGTTGGCACGTGAGAAAAGATTTAACCTACAGTAAACAGGAAGTGGAAAGGCTGCAGATAGATGAATAGAATAGAAAATCCCTTTATTGTTCCTCAGTGGGGAAAGCTAGACGTCACAGCAGCGATGACACGTATTACAGGAGAAAAAAAGGAGAATAAAAAATAAGAAAAATGAATAAACAAGAAAACATAAATCCTGAATAGATTTTAAAAATGCTGATTATACCACAAGTAATGAATGCCACTGATGCCTTTTATTTAAAACGGACTTGCTCGTGTGTAATTTGGTTATTCCACATTCAGTGTTAACGCAGAAATAAGTTTGTTTCCAAATTTAAAGGTTCAAAATTGCATAAATGTTGATAAAGAAAATGTGCAAATTTGCCGTCACTTTTTCAAAAAATATTAAGTTTGGCCCTCGACTCCGTCCCAGAGTTTCATTTCGGCCCCTTGTGAGTTTGAGTTTGACACCCCTGGACTAAGGGGTAATTGTGGTACGAGAAAACGGCTCAGGGGTCCGCGAGTCCAAAAAAGTTGGGAACCACTAGTCTACTGTACAAGCCTGAGGGGGCAGTGCTATGATCTGGGCTTGCTGCAGGTGGTCAGGTCTAGGTTCAGCAACAGGATAAGCTCCAAGAATGAGGTCAGCTGACTACCTGAATATTCTGAATGATCAGGTTATTCCATCTTCCCTGATGGTATGGCCATATTCCAAGATCACAATACCAGGATTCATGGGGCTCAGATTGCGAAAGAGTGGTTCAGGGAGCATGAGACATCACTTTCACACATGGATCGGCCACCAGACCTTAACCCCATTGAGAACCATTGGGATGTGTAGAGAAGGCTTTGTGCAGCGGTCAGACTACCATCATCAATGCAAGATCTTGGTGAAACATTAATGCAACACTGGATGGAGATAAATCTGGTGAAGCTGCAGAAGCTTACCAAAACAACGCCACAGCAAATGTGTGTTGTAGTTAAAGCTAAAGGTGCTTAAACAGAATAGTAGAGTGTGTGACCTTTTATCTGTTGTTGTATTCCCAAAGCTTTCTAATAAGACATGCTCACCTCTGATGAGGCAGGCCGGAAACCAAAACCAAGAGGCACATTCTCTTCATCTTCACACCCTTTGACTCCTGGACTGAAGTGAAGCTCCACATGGAAACGCTCCTCTGAGGAGGGTTCCTTCTCACCACAAAAACACAAATATACATAAAATCGAATCTAAAAGCCTTACAATGAAACTCAGAGATGTAGCATTCAGGCCAACCTTGTTGTTGTCTTCATACAGCATGATGACGATTTGAGTCATGTAGTTGAGTTCAGTTACGGCGCTCAGGTAGTCCATGGCCTGTCTCCACTGCTGGTCCTTCTCCTCCTGACACACAATATTACAAAAACTTTGATTATTGCATGCATGACAGAGTTGGGAGTGTAATTTAGTCCAGCAGACCAGACAGGTCTTCAGTCCAGGTCCTGACTAGTCCTGTACAACCACCATACACAGTTTCACACAAAGACACAAAGCAGTACACACATCCAGGAGTCCTCCATAGCGAAACATGCTGAGCAGCGAGTGAACGTGGCTCTCGCTGGTGAAGTAGAGCCGTGTGCGAACATGACGACCCGGGGACATTACGCCTCGAGAATACCTGGACACCAGGGAACAGGAGAAGGTTTTAGGGGTTACTGGATAACACAGAAGTAACACGTGGAAGATGAGGGTTTACAGGGTCTAGGTCTCACAGTGGGTGCAGCTTATTGACGGCCTCGTCCTCATGGGTTCTCTGTAGGTCCAGCTGAATTTTTCTCATAAGAGGAACGCAGTAAGCCTGAGCGATGTCGAGCTTCTCTGCTTTACTGATGCCATATTCCTGATTATCACAATATATCATCTTAAAAAGACCTGACAGAAGACACATGCGGCCCACCAGAGCTGTAACTGTAAAAGAAAGATGTTTCTGCTTTAACCTGTGGTATGACGATGTCAGCCAGTGCACGTGACAATCGAAACAGCTCTAAAGTGTCCTCCAGGCTGAGAGAGGCATTGTGCTGAGAGTCATATTTGATGCAGTCGTAGATGTCTGGGATCTTGCTAATGTCATAGCGACCGTTCTTCATCCGGAAGTCTCTCTCCAGCTTGGACCAACGCTGTAACATCAGCTCCAGCGTCTCACTGTGGTAAAGCTGCAGATCTGACGGGACAGCAGGGTTTGGCTCTACATTTATTCTTCATGCTGACTGAAGCCATGGAGCCCTCTTGCACAAAAACCACCCACCTGATGACTTTGGGTCCTCCAGCCTCTTTCGGATCTGAGAGGTGAGACTCTGGATGAGCGCATAGACCTTGTCACAGGTTTTGACCGGATTCTCGATGACCTTCATAGAGTTTATTAGCGATGAGCCGCCTGTTGGAGCCAACTGAATAAGAAGAAGAAGAAGAAAAGATATTTTCTATAGTGCCTCTCAAGATAAAAATCACAAGGCGCTATACACATTGAAGCACAAGACAAACAGATGTCAGCTGGGCATTAATGTCATAAGCTTGGTACTTTCTATTTTATATAAAAAACAGCTTCAGTGATTTTTACACACAGGTTAGAGTTAAAACATTCGTTATATTATGATTGACTGCAGCTGAGCTCTTTGCAGCATCAAAATGACTTGTTTTAATGTTGGACTAACCAAACATATTGAGACGCATCTGGTAAGATGGTGTATGGAGCTCCACTGCTTGCAGGAAGTGATTACTTATCTGAAGTAATCCTTTGAACTTATTATTTGTTTGTGTCGCAAGTACTACCCCAATGAACGAAAGTGCAGGTGTTTTTATTATTTTTTGATCTATAAGTCACATATTTTCATATATATTAAAAGATGCATTCTATAATCTGTAATCTATGCATCATTCAAGCAAGATTCCTTAACTACTCACTTTAACGAGCACTGCCTCTCCACTCTGTCCTGTCAGAACCAGGTCAGTTCCTGCAGTGAACCCTACTCCCTGGTCTAACGACAGCATTAAGCCTGAATCATCAATGCAAAAACAAAATTGAGCTCTAATGGAAGAAAACCCACCTCCATGTCTATCTGCTGCATCTACAGGATCTTCTGATCTTTAACTCTGCAGTAAGATAAACGAGGGTTGCCTATTTCTCCAACCTGGTGTTCCAGAGCAAAGGGAACCCCAAGGTGCTGTTTAACACCATCAGCAGCATCGTCTCTCCTGCCTTTCCTACAGCCTCCATCCACTCTGTTGCAGACAATGTTCTTTTAGAAAGGCATGAACATGTTGTAGGGATCAAAGGAACTGTGCTAGGCTGGTTTAAATTCTACCTGTCTGATAGATATAATTTTGTAAATGTACATGACAAATCTTCTTCATACTCCAGGGTATCTTGTTGAGTACCAAAGGGTTCAGTGCTTGGACGAATTCTTTTGACTATATATATGATTCAAAAATTCAAATTCAAATAACTTCCACTGTTATGCTGACGATACTTAGTTATATCTATCCATTAACCCTGATGAACCTAACTGGTTAGGTAGATTACAGGCTTGTCTTGAAGCTATAAAAAATTGGATGACTCTAAATTTTCTACTTTTAAATCAAGACAAGACTGAGGTTCTCATCTTTGGACCCAAGGACGTAATTTTCACTTTAGAAGTGGGGGGGACACGGGGGGTGGGGGGGTGGGGGGTGTCTTTACAGTATGTTCTAATGGGAAACAGGCTTCAACACAAACGGTTGTTTTCCGCTTGGTCCTAAAGCTCAACCAGTGTCAATTTAATATAGCGTAATATTGTTTTTGGATGGTAAAAAGTGCAGGGGTCAAAACTTGACTTTGGAAAAAGTGGGGGGGACATGTCCCCCCTGCCCCCCCCCCCCCCCCAAAATTACGTCCATGTTTGGACCAGAAATTCAGAAAATGAAATTGCATAGCCAATTGCCTGACCTGAATGGCATTAAATTAATCTCCGAGAACAAAGTAAGGAACCTTGGTGTTATCTTAGACCAGGACATGTGTTATGGAAAAATCTATGTTTATTAATTCCTGATCATAGACGCAATCAACTGTATGTAATGCATTGCTCTATGCCTCTCTGCATGCTCATTTACTCATACACACACACACACACACACACACACACACACACACACACACACACACACACACACACACACACACACACACACACACACACACACACACACACGCACACACACACATACGCACACACACTGACTCTCTCTACCTCTTATCTCTCCCTATAAATAAAGTCTGTGAACAGATGTTCAAGGCATTAGCTTCGGCATCTTGCCACAGTTATAATTGTTTGACTTATCTGCTCATTGTCTCCTTAACTCTTCACTATAGGTAATGGGTTATTGATAAACATATTGATAAAATCCATGACAACATGTCATTCAAATCCCACGTTAAACAGGTTTGTAGGATTTCCTTTTCCACCTTCGGAATATTGCTAAGAATAGAAGCATCCTTTCCAGGAGTGATGCTGAAAAACTAGTTCATGCATTTATTACATCAAGACTGGATTACTGTAATTCATTACTCTCAGGAAGTCCACAGAATGTAGTTAAAAGTCTTCAGCTTGTCCAAAATGCTGCAGCTAGAGTTCTGATGAGAATTAAAAAGAGAGATCATATCTCTCCTGTCTTAGCTTCCCTACATTGGCTGCTTGTTAGATTCAGAATAGAATTTAAGATCCTCCTTCTCACATACAAAGCTCTTAATAATCAAGCTCCATCATACATCAGTGACCTGATTGTTCCACACGTTCCTAACCGAGCACTTTGCTCTCAGACTACAGGTTTACTGGTGGTTCCCAGAATATCTAAAAATAGGACGGGAGGCAGATCTTTTAGCTATCAGGCTCCTCTCTTGTGGAACCAGCTCCCAGCCTTAGTCCGTGAGGCAGAAACCTTGTCTACTTTTAAGACTAGGCTCAAAAAATTTTTATTTGATAGGGCCTATGGTTAAAATCTGATGTTAGCCCAGATCTGAACAAGTGGGGGAGTAGAGGGAGATGGAGTGTACAGTCGGTAAAGACGGCTCTCCCTTGCCCTGCCTCCAACATGCCTCCATTTAAAAGACTAGGTTATCCAGAGTTATCTCTGTAGTTATGCTGCTATAGGCTTAGACTGCTGGAGGACATACTGACCACTTTCCACACTCGACTACTTTCTTCTACAGTTTGCTCTTTAGCTGTATTACTTCCTGCTATTTCAGCTGTTAACTTAATATAAAGGTGGTGTGTGTGTGTGTGTTCTTGTACATCCTACATACTGAGGACCATTTTGACCATTTTCCCTACAATGTGAGGACATTTTTTGGGTCCTTACTTTTTTTTTAGAAGTTTACCAGAAGCTTACTATACCAGTTAGAGGTCTGGTCTGAATTACGTTTTAGTTTAGGTTAGGGTTAGGCATAGTGGAGTCACAAAAATCATCTTTTATTTAGGGACATGGAGAAGTTAAAAGGAGAGAGAAAAAGAAGACAGAAGTTCTTGTTCCACTTTATTATTCTGTTTCATGATGATAAACTGATGTTAAATTCAGCTTAAAGAGAAACTGGGAGGAAGCTTTGGTTCATTTTAAGTTACAGGAGATCTTGTTTCCTATCTGCTCCTCCAGAGACAGCATGGACATGAGGGTTACATGGTGAGGGTCCCACAGGACAGGTTAGTGGAAAGGTTTGTAGTTAGCTGGTTAGTGAAGGAGATCCATCAGCTGGGTAATTTGATTCTAATCCAGCCCACAGCCTCCTGCTGGTGTTATTATCAGAAAGAATAAAACACACATCTTAAATATTGTTGGAAGTGTAGAATTTGTTTTATGTTTTATTATTTTCTGCATCAAACAGAACTTGATTCACTCTCCAACATTTCAGAAATGAACCACTGGGTTCAAATAAAATAACAAACTAAGTCAAACATTTCATTTGGTGTTATTTCTGACACCCTTCAACTGCAGCATAAATATTTGACTCTAGAGCTGCTCAGAGACATTAAACACTCCTAAATGTACCCATTATGTATTTTATTATTACATTATGTGTCCTGTAGATTTTCAGTACTTTTTCAGTACTTTGTGAGTTTTTGAAAAGCGTGTTTTTCTCAGCCTGAGGCGTGGCGTTGAACGAGGAAACAGATTGTTTTACTTTGTTAAATCTTCTTAAATGTTTAAATGTTTTGTCCTAACCTGTTGTGAGTGGAGAGCTTTTGAGGGATGGCAGGTTGTCTCAATTACGTTTTTCATAAAAAATAAAAATAAAAAGCAATTATCTGACATCTTCTATTTATCGATGAAAACAAATCAATATGAAATAACCGTGATGCATCGGGATATCGAATCGAATCAAATTGTTTACCCAATAATCGTAATTGAATCGAATCGGGAGACAAGTGAAGATTCACACCTCTAACACATGTTCACGTACACAAACTATTGCAAGAGCCTTAACTAGAGCTCAGTCAGTTTGTGTAATTTCCTCCAATGGTTTACGTAAAAACTAACACTTTTATATACATGTTTGAGGCTATTATCCAATGGAACGCTGGCAACAAAGCTCTGCCCGATCAACACTATCCAAATCAGTCATTTATTCTCCCAGTTGATTATTAACCAAAGCCTCATGCTTTATGCAAAACATTAAATGATTTTCAGCACCAATCTTTACAGAAAACATAAAAAGCCCGAAAAAACTGCACATAAAATACATTTAAAAAGCAATGTTCACTTGTCACTTAGAGCAGTAGTTCCCAAACTTTTCAGCCTGACCAACAGATATTCCTTCTTATTGTTATGTTATTTAGAAAATGTCATTATATTTGGAAAGTTTTTATTTATATATAAATATATAAAGCTCTTTTTAAATGTTATATTTTACTTTTTTTATGATTATGTGGCACACTTTGACTTCCATACATAAAGCATTGGCATCTGCCTCTTTTTTACGGCTTTTTTTTTACATTGTCGCTACGTCTGTCACTTTAGTAGTGTTTTTACCATCGTTCCTACATCCATCACGTCCCAGAGAAGGTTAAACAAACATCAAACCCAACATTTGGAGCTTGTAAACTCCACACACCTCTCGTGCAGCACCAGCTGTCTGATGCTGCAGCAGCGTCCATCTTCCCAGCTGGATGAGTGAATTTCTTCATCAGAGTCAATATTCTGCTTCATAATCAGAGTCAGTCATTACCAGACAAAGTGATCAGTCAACAAAGACCAGACCTGCCGGCAATTATACATTTTATCTAATATTTGCGCTCTTCATGTTGCGCACATCTCCTCTCCCCGACTGGGAGCCTCTCGGCGGGAGGCATTTTTCCAGCTCTAAAAACTCCCAAACTTTGCTCAGCCTGAAGGTTACACATCTCCACTATCTTCTGATGTA